ATCATGCAATTGGCTATAATTGATGAGGGAACCTAACGCCTTAAAAGCTTAATATAAATAATGTCTTTTTTCATCTAAAGAGCTAATTTTGAGTGTGGACTCCTATTCGTATGGAATTAAGCTTTTCTTGAGCTTATAAGATAGGTTTTGAGATATGCATGGGAATTATATCTTCCCCGGGATAGCAAAGCAAAAGAATAAATAAATTATCGTTCATAATTGAGAAAATTAAGTTGGAGTTAGGATAAGTAAAAAACACTTTAATTTAAATAAATAATTAAAGTGCTCGTGATTATCGAATCAAATTTTAGCTTATCATGATTTTAGTTACCCCTAGTGTTTGTTGGGTGCCTGCAATTAAATGGGCAGAATGGAATATAATTTTTAAATTTCTCCATATCCTTGATATATCAAAATTCTTGGATGTGGACTATCATAGACCTCAATGCCAGTTACTTTATCAAAATCAACAGTATTAAGATGGGTTTCTGCAATCAATTATAGCCAATTGCATGATGTTGCAATAAAATTTATATAGGATATACTAATAGTGATTTAATCGATAAAATACCTAGCTTAAAGTACCATAATTTAAATCGATTAGAACCTGAAAATCATTCGAACTTGCAGTAACAATGACTATATTTTTAAAAATGAGGTTATATATGAAAACGATTCTTAAAAGAAAAGCCTTACTGCTTGCATTATTATTAGCAAGCAGTAGCTTTTATTCTATTTTCACCATGCAGGAGCCATCTGATTACTCGCAAACCCAAGATTATGAAGAATCAGCTGATCCTCGAATCCCAGATGATTATAGCTCCTTTAGTTTTGGAGAACTCAATTCAGATCCGATTATCTCGAGCGATGAAGAATCAACAGATACAGATCTTGAAGGAATTTTAGATCGCCTTGATTCAGATGGAGTAAGTTCTTATGAAGAAGACGAAGCAGATTCTCATCGAATACTCAATATTTGTAAACAATGTGGTGAAGCTTTTTCTGAAAGAATCAACTTATTATTGCATGTTAAAATTGCTCATACAGGCAATATACCCCTTTTCATTTGTTGGCAGATCAATCAAAACGGTTCTTTTTGTGGCAAATGGTATACAAGAAAATTTGCACGTTTAGTTCATTCTTTAGAATCACACAATCATTGTCCAGATTGCGATACTCAATTTACCTGCTTAGAGGACTCAAATCAGCATAGAAGAGCAAAACATTCACGAAAAAAAAAATCAAAGCATTCATTAGCTGGTATCACTCAAACTAAAGCGAATAGCACTAAATCTCTAGATACAGCGAATGCACACGATATTACTCTACAAAATCTTGAAGATACTGCTATATATTATAAAAAAGAATTACCCGAAGAAGGGATCCCGTATTTTGTTAAGATTGATAAGAACCCCTTATTGTTTATTGAGGAAATAAAAGAACTGAAATCGCAAGGGTTCACCAAATGCACTATTCGGCCGTCGAATCTCGTTCAAACGGATAAAATCATATCTGTTTTAGGAACTTCCTTAGATCTTCTTGTATGCGCTGAATCTTCCTTACCATCAGTATCCCAATTACATACGGATACAAAATCTAGAGCCATGACAAATTGGCGCAAAGAACTTTTAGGATATAATCTAAGGGGAAAAAAGAGATTGACCGCTAAAGCACAACAAAATAAATCGCAAGAGGAAGCACCTCGTAAAGAAAGAAAACATCATTGTGCTTATGCTGCCGATGACATTCCTTGCTCTAACAGTTTTACCAGAAGTTATCATAAAAGACGGCATGAAATCAATTCTCACTTTTTCTGTTCATTATGTAACACTAAATTCAATTCGAGACAACTAGCTTTTGAGCATTATATAACCAAGGCTTGTTCTAAAGAGAATTAAATTTGAACTAAAGTATTCAGAGATCCTGTATATACAGGATCTCTAATCAGTACTAATTTGTAAAAATTTATTTAGCTTTGAGATAATCATTTCTCAACATAACATAACTTTTCATATCCCAAAAAGCTCCTCGTGTATAGCCTGCTTCTTTATGCTCCTCAATTGCGTCCCTGCTTTTTTCTTAAAACTTTAAATATCATACAAACTTTGTTATAATATTGTTATAACAAAAAATTAACATATTAAGGATTTTTATGAAAAAAAGATTAGTAAAGCATGGCAACAGTTTAGCTCTTTTAATTGAAAAACCCATTTTAAAAATTCTTGGAATCGACGACCAAACTGATTTACAAATTAAAATTGAAGAAAATTCTCTAATAATAGAACCGGCACATAAGACAAAAACTCGCAAGGAAGAGATTCGAGAAATCGCTCAACAAATTATGGATCAATATGATCCGGTATTTAAAAAACTTTCTAAAACATGAGATCATATAATTTTTTACAAGTACAGGATGTGCTTGATCTTCATGATTATATCATCACTAGATATGGTGGGAATACTGGTCTAAGAGACTTTAATCTTTTGGATGCCGCAATAGCCCAATCATCACTGATTATATTTGGCTCATATCTTTATTCTGATGAATTTCAAATTGCTGCGACATATGCATTCCATATAATTAAGAATCATCCTTTCGTTGATGGCAATAAGCGCACGGGACTCTTGACTGCCTTACTTTTCTCCAAAAAAATAACATTCTTATAGAATCAGATTTTGATTTATTGTACGAGCTTACTGTTAAAATAGCTTGCTCTCAAATAACCAAAGAGGAAATTGCTCTTTTTTTTAAACAACATCACAAAGAAATTATATCAAAATAGCTTCTACTAATTTCTCGTTTATATTTTTTGGCTCAACCGCAAAAATTAGTTTAATGATAACTTTTTGAGCAGGCACGGTAATCATTTCTTAACATAACATAACTTTTCATATCCCAAAAAGCTCCTCGCGTGTAGCCCGCTTCTCTATGTACCCCTTCTAGCTGCATACCCAATTTTAAGGCAACTCGTTCTGACCGAATATTATCTATGACTATAAATGCTATAACTCTATTAATTTTTAATATATTAAAGGTAAAAGCAAAAATAGCTTCTAACGCTTCTGACATTAATCCTTGATTCCAATATGCTTTATCTAAGGCATATTCAAGTTCTACAATAGAATGCTCAGGTTGACTATGATTAAATCCACAATAACCAATAATTTTATTAGTGTTTTTATCTGCTATTCCCCACAACGCTGGTTCTTTTTCAGCATATTTTTTTTGCAGAAATTCAATAAACATTCTCGTATCAGCTACTGTTTCATCAATAGGATCCCACGTTTCCACTTGAGGATCCGAGGTAAACTTAAACATATCTTCAGCGTCATCTAAAGTTATTTGACGCAAAATTAAACGCTTGGTCTCTAGTGTTTCAGTACCCGTATAAAAAGATTGATAATCAATATCCTGCTTACGACTAATCATTTCATTTGCTTGCATTAATTTAACGGTATTAAGAAACATTACAATTCCGACAATTAATTTTAAATACTTTATAATTTTCATAGCAAAACCCTTATAATATAAATTTATATAGTTGGTTGAGCTTCTATATTAGCATTTAATGTCGTATGATAAGAACATAATTTACCTTGAGCTTTCAAATCTTCCGCAATTTCAGCAAGAGTATCCGCCAGTAAATAGCCACCATTATTTTTTAAAAAATTCTTATCAATTTCAGCAAGGCGGCATCTTCTGGCTGCTGATTCCTGAACACATTGTGAACAGCCCGTAGCATAATGGCCTTGAATTTCAGCTCTTCGTTCTATAAAATAAGAGTAACAACGCGCAGTTATACACATAGTTATCAGCGCTATAGCACTCATAGCAGGATAAGATATCCATCTTGAAATAGCAGGCTTAAAATACAAAAGCAGTTTTCGAGCTAAAAATCCAGATCCAAATAAAGTGACGAGTTTAATAAATAGATTAAATCCTACATCATTATATTTTTTATGAATCGCTTCATGAAACATTACACAACGTTTAGCACCATAAGCTTCTTGATTTAGCCTAACTTCGTTTACAAATATTGCTTCAGGCGTTGCCAATGCGGCTATAGGAAATGAGGTTAATGAAGAAGGAAATTTTTTAATTGGCACATGATATTTTTCCGGTATACCAAGAACACATTGAGCTTCTTTTCCGAGTTCTTGATATTCAGAAGCCGCGAGATCATTACCAAATACTTTCATATGATCATAAAACCTAGCTAAAACTCTATTCTCAAAAAATAGCATTAAATTTGATACAGCTAAGACAGAAGAATATTTGTTAATAAGAGATTTTCTTTTAATAGATTCAACAGAGGAGAATATTTCTATGAAACTAAAGGAAATAATTAACAACAATGAAAAATTTATGCGTTGAAAATTACGGTTCATCATAAAATTACCTTAAAGTATAGAGTTACTAGTAACAATGTCTCTAAAAAGCTCCCTTTATCCACCTAAAATTCTAACAAAACTATCATCAATAACAATTATTTTTTCTTATCTTAATCCGATGAAAAAGCATACACCCAATCTACAAGCGAGTTATCATTCAACGTTACCTTTTCATGATATGAGCACAATTGATTATCGCGTGCTAAATCTTCAGCAATAATCTCAAAATCGCCTCTACACAAATAACCTTTTCCACCATAACTTTGATCTTCAGTTGATGCAAAATAGCTGGCCTCTCGGACACATAAAGCACAGGTGGTACCATAAGCACCCTCAATATCCGCACGGCGTTCTAAACGTCTGCAAGTAAAATACCTAAACAATTTTCCTATACACATTGCCAAAATGCTTCTGAAGATAATATTGCTTGTTTTTTCAAAAGCAAATCGATAACTACCTAACTTTTGTAAATAATAATTGAACTTGTAAAAAGAAGGCGAATGGCATACATATGCGTAACTTTTTTTGCCCAAATAATTATATGATCTTAAAAAAAACAAACTTCCTAAAAATAATATCACAAAACTATGTGCCATATCATTATATTTCCGATGAATAGATTCATGAAAAAGTATGAATCGTTTATGACCATACAAGGTAACGTCTAAAGCATTTTCATTAACATATATTGCTCCCGGAATATATAAAGCAAGAACATTTTTCCATCGCGATGCTGCCACCATCCGCGGCGAAAATTTTTTGATTGGTACGTAATATTCTTCAGGTACACCTACGCTCGCCTGTGCCTCTTTTCCGAATCGCTGATATTCCTCTGACGCCAACTCACTTGTTCCATATAATATAGGCCACAAGAA